TTACATTTTTATATATATATATATATATATATATATATATATATATATATATAAACTTTCTTTTTCAATTTAATAATGTAGTTTTGCTTTGATTGCTTTTTTTAAATTTGATTTTTATTTGATTTATTTTTTTCAAAATGTAATTTAAATTTTACAGGAACGATGTTATTGTCAGCTTGCAAACTGAAAGTGAATAAATTAATTCTAATTTTGCTGCTTAATTTGCATTGGAAATCAAATAGCAAACCAGTTTTCATTTTCATCTTTATCATTCTATTTTTAAAATTGGGTTAAGGCTACATATAATACAAATGTTTTTGTTTCTGATGTTTTAATTTCAGTCCTCTTTTGTTTTTAACCATGAGAATGTGCTTCCAGCTTACATTTGTTAGTCTGTGACTTAACCTGAACAAACAAGATGCACTTATTCTGCAATAATGTAAGCAAAGCTTGTTTAATATAATTGTTCATGGTTTTATTTTCAGGTCAATGCCACGGATGCTGTCCACCAGCTTGGAAGAACTCCAAAGTGGAAGCTTACAGATGGTACAAAAACCAGAATAATTTTGTATAAATAAATATGACTATTCTGATTCTTGTGGCCAACTAACTCATATCATTAACAAAATGCTTTTAGTCTGAATGTCTAAACTTAACTCGGATCTCTTTAATGCTAGATTAACATTGTGCTTTGATTTTGTATATTTCAACTAACAATGTAACTCGTCTAACTGAGTGTGTGTTTGTGTGTTTTGACTATTGTTTTTTCTTAAGCATGTAGTGGGCCAACCAGTAGAGGCTGTTTTAGAGGTACTATTAGCTAACATAAACCAATAAACTAAAGCTAACACAACACCAGAACCACAACAATAGCCTTTTGCACATGCATTAGTTAACATAATGTACCTGTATGCATATTTTTTTGTTTGCCTGGCTTATTTGAACAAAAATGCTTATTATTACAGTGTTTGTTCTTGTTCTTCTAATAAAATAAGTTTTTGTTTATTTGTTCATTTATTTATTTATGTTATATGTTTAATTAAATTCTAAAACTGTTTGTAATTATGCATTTTTATGGTTAATATAATTTATAGCAATATAAAAATCTCAACATAAATATTTAATCGCTAAGATAAATGCATTTCTTCCACAGAACCGATATAATCCTGAAAATAACAAATACCAGACACTTCCGGGCAAGTTTAATCGTCCAGAGCAGAATGGAGTGGGATTGCAGTCGTCTTCCCCACTGCAACTGTCTCCTGATGAAAGTGAGGACAGCGAATTCAACCTGAGTAAGCAATTGTCTCACAGCACCCACAATACTTTGTGTTGAAATAATTTGTTAACATGGGCTGTTTCTGAAAACCAAATTAAGTGAGCTTTTGAGAGAACCATGCATTTAGTGTGTACAATGTTTATTTCTTGCTATAAATTAAAGTAATAGTTCGCCCAAAAACTTTCATTCTCACGGCACCCATTCACTGCAGAGGATCCATTGGTGAGCAAGTGATGTAATGCTAAATTTCTCCAAATCTGATAAAGAAAAAAAAATAACAATGAAGAAACAAACTTGGATCTTGGATGGGCTGAGTAAATTCAGCAAATTAAAATTTTTCAATAAGTAAAAAAAATATATATATATACAGTGGGTACGGAAAGTATTCAGACCCCCTTAAATTTTTTGCTCTTTGTTATATTGCAGCCATTTGCTAAAATCATTTAAGTTAATTTTTTTTCCTCATAAATGTACACACAGCACCCCATATTGACAGAAAAACACAGAATTGTTGACATTTTTGCAGATTTATTAAAAAAGAAAAACTGAAATATCACATGGTCCTAAGTATTCAGACCCTTTGCTGTGACACTCATATATTTAACTCAGGTGCTGTCCATTTCTTCTGATCATCCTTGAGATGGTTCTACACCTTCATTTGAGTCCAGCTGTGTGTGATTATACTGATTACCATGTGATATTTCAGTTTTTCTTTTTTAATAAATCTGCAAAAATGTCAACAATTCTGTGTTTTTTCTGTCAATGTGGTGTGCTGTGTGTACATTAATGAGGGAAAAAAATTTACTTAAATGATTTTAGCAAATGGCTGCAATATAACAAAGAGTGAAATATTTAAGGGGGTCTGAATACTTTCCGTACCCACTGTATATATATAATATATATAAAAAAAAATGAAATTTCTGAATAAATGTAATTTTTAGGCATAATAGATAGGATGTTTCTGTCTGCATTTTTAGCTTTCAGACACAGGCATAATTTTTATCATACGCCCTTTGATCTTATTAATACTATATAACCTCAGCTGGTGTCATTGTGCTTGTTTGCTCTTCCATTCTCTGAATACTTTTGTCCTCTGAGCTTTTTGACCATAACAGCTGTTTAACCATCTTATTCAGCCTTTTTCAACACTACAGTGTCTTTGCATGGGCTTCTGTGTATCTTCTCTCTGACTAATCCATCTCTCGGGCTGTGCGACTGTCTCCGCATGTGTTTATCCTCTCTCACTCGGTGCGAAGATCGCTGCCGAAGCGCCAGTGCTCCAGCTTTAGGTATTGTCCTCTCAATCTCAAGTTTGCATGCGACCACAGAGCACACTCTTGCTGTGTCATATTTGATTTAACCTAAGCTCTCCTATCCTGATTCTTTAAAGCTGAAAGCAGGGAATTTTTATTTTTCCTCTCTCTCTCTCCACTCAGAGATTAGACTTTGAGTTTAAACTTGATGTGATGCAATTGCAAATATAATGTACTGTATATGGAAAAAAGGAATAAGGAGAAATCCATTTGGGTTTCATATAGGCTACAGAAGTCTGATGCTGAAAACTAGAAAAGTTTGAGCATTTGCCCTGCTTTGGTTGATTATTTATTACTCTAGAGCAGGGCTCTCAAACTTAAACTACCTCCATCATTCTCCACTGGAACAGTTATAAATGTGAAAGTTATACATTTTACATGGTGTAAAAAAAAATTATTATAATTGAATAGTGCATTTTTTCTACATGTAGTAATATTTATTATTAAATAATTGATGCTATACATAGACTCATTCTTGATAGATTCATTAATTGACATTTAAAAAGTCTTCTTTAAAAAATATCTTCTATCAAATATCAAACTCAAAAGAGCTGATGTAATTAGTGTATTTTTTTAAACGTTGTAAAAAAAAAAGTTAAATTATTGTATATATTTTTTTTATTATTGCTGTTAAAATTATTTTAATTTCTACTTCTCTTAGTTTAAAAATAAGCTCTTTTTTTCTTTATCTATAGAAGTAAAACTTCAAAACATCTCTGCAGCCTCAGTGACATAAGTATTTGCTTTCTTTTCCTCTGCTCTCTTGCATGGCTAAAATTTGGTGCAGTACCACGGGGAAAGCATGATCAGTTTGTGCTTGGTGGGTAAAGATAGAATAATGTGTGTTCAGTCCAATAGTGAACTTATGAAAATGCAGAAACACAAAACTGAATAAGTGGATTGCTTCCTGTTCACAGGAAAGGCAGAGAAGACCGATAACTCGACCTTGTCTGACCTTTCACCCATGTCGTCTGGAGTAGAATCAGGTCAGCAGTCTCCTGTTTCACCAGAGCACAAGAAGAACCAGAAAGGCATTCTAAAACTGTGGGGAAAGTGAGTATTTTAGTTTTTTTTTTTTTTTCGGTTAAAGACCGCTTTAAAAAAAAAAAAGCATTATGTTTTTGATGTATTTTTAAGTGATATTGTGTGAAATATGGAAATTAGTGTAGGGCAAAAGTTTTCAGGATTTGATTGCATCATGAAATGTGGCTTGTGATTATTATTGACTGTATTCTTTATTTCGCCCATATGGCCTAGACCAAATGTGCTGAGTGAATGCTCATACAGTATGTAACACACTTACTAAGCACAATGAAGCTTTAGATGAAACATTTCTGTCATCATTTAGGCAGTGGAGCCATTCATTTTCCTAATAATAGAAAGAGTGTGTTTAAAATAAAATTAATTATTTCCGGTAAAGATGACAAACAGCATTAAAGGGTCTCTTATTATTTTTCTATTATTTTGAGTCTTTTTTTTTCATTTTGAAACTGATTCTGGAGATTCATTATTTGGTCTTTTGTCACAATCTGATTATGATAATTTGATAATTCGCAGTTTATCAAATCAAGATGTGTATCGTATCATAAGGTAGTTTCTAATATCCAGCCCAATTCAATTCATTCATTTATTTTAATAGTTACTTTATGACATTGGTGGAATTTAATAATAATGAATTGAATTTGGTGAAAAAAAATAGTTTATTATTATTATTAATAATAATTGTAATGTGCCAGTATCAAACACAATTATTTATTTATTTATTTTAATATTAAGTAAATATTTATTTTAATAATAATGAAAAAATAAATTTGGTGGAAATATTCTGATTTATTATTATTACTATTATTATTATTATTATTAATGCTTGTAGTAGTAGTAGTGATAATAATATAGTGTCAGATGTAAAAAATAAATAAATAAATAAAAAAGTTATTTTTCTGTTTTGTGTAAATAAAATAATAAAACAAAACGCTAAAAATGAAATCAAACTAAATGTGAATTTGGGCATCACATCATTATAATGTACAGTATGAAAAATAGATATTCATTTTGGATATTCAATTTGCTAAAGATTTGTGTTTTCAATATTAACTTTAAGTAAGCATTAGATGATGCATTAGATCATGCTTTTGGGCATCACATCATTATAATGTACAGTATGAAAAATAGATATTCATTTTGGAAATTCAATTTGCTAAAGATTTGTGTTTTCAATATTAACTTTAAGTAAGCATTAGATGATGCATTAGATCATGCTGTTGTGTTTTATTCTTCATTTGTTGTTCCTCAGCCACGTAAAATAGGTTTCTCCAGTTTTGGCCACCGTAAGAAGCGCACTCACGAGTCCACTGACTACATCTGCCCTCTGGATGCTTCACAAGACCAGGCCCTGCTCAATGGGGCCAACCGGCCCTACAGCGGCTTCAGGGGCCTGAGCCCCATCTTTGACCGGGACCCAGAGAGACAGGAGCAGGTGGGAGTTCTACAGATCTGACGCTCTGCTAGCCGTCACCGCTGAGCTTGCAACCAATAACCCTCCACCCATATCCCACGACAAGTTCACAACAACACAGGTGCCATTTTATAAAATCCCTCATTGACGGACACAAGACAGCAGTATGGACACTGCAGGAAGACATGGATCCAAGGGTTTAGTAATGTAAATGACATCATCTCACTAAGGCAGCAGGGTTTAACAGAACGCTTTTCCCAGAATAGTGCCATTTATCCTGTGATGGACAGTCGGATACATTTGACTTTATATCATTTTTCTGTGAATCGTAAAAAAAAATGTATTATGAGGTTTATCTAACAAGTATTCCATTTTTGTAACCTAACTTTGTGCTGTTTTTAAAGACAGTGTGTACAGTTTTGTGCAACATTTGCATATTTTAGGGATTAATTTAATGGTATATTTATGGTGAATTTTTAAGAAGCATACAGACTACTATTAAATGTTCAGCAGCACATTTTAAATAATCAGATGGTTATTTTCATACAATAAACTGCACAGGAGTATTTTTACATGTAGAAATCTTGCCTCTTCAGTTGAAGATACTGTAACGATATATAACCCAAAATATCGTTACATAATCAATAAACCTCCTCAATCACAGTGATATTTGGGGGTTTTTTAACACACAGAATGGCTATACCCCTTTACTTTATCATTGTCCTTTTTTTCTTGATGAATGTTTTCTTGGCTGTATATGATTTCAAAAATAAAAGTAAGCATTAGATGATGCATTAGATCATGCTGTTGTGTTTTATTCTTCATTTGTTGTTCCTCAGCCACGTAAAATAGGTTTCTCCAGTTTTGGCCACCGTAAGAAGCGCACTCACGAGTCCACTGACTACATCTGCCCTCTGGATGCTTCACAAGACCAGGCCCTGCTCAATGGGGCCAACCGGCCCTACAGCGGCTTCAGGGGCCTGAGCCCCATCTTTGACCGGGACCCAGAGAGACAGGAGCAGGTGGGAGTTCTACAGATCTGACGCTCTGCTAGCCGTCACCGCTGAGCTTGCAGCCAATAACCCTCCACCCATATCCCACAAAACCCACGACAAGTTCACAACAACACAGGTGCCATTTTATAAAATCCCTCATTGACGGACACAAGACAGCAGTATGGACACTGCAGGAAGACATGGATCCAAGGGTTTAGTAATGTAAATGACATCATCTCACTAAGGCAGCAGGGTTTAACAGAACGCTTTTCCCAGAATAGTGCCATTTATCCTGTGATGGACAGTCGGATACATTTGACTTTATATCATTTTTCTGTGAATCGTAAAAAAAAATGTATTATGAGGTTTATCTAACAAGTATTCCATTTTTGTAACCTAACTTTGTGCTGTTTTTAAAGACAGTGTGTACAGTTTTGTGCAACATTTGCATATTTTAGGGATTAATTTAATGGTATATTTATGGTGAATTTTTAAGAAGCATACAGACTACTATTAAATGTTCAGCAGCACATTTTAAATAATCAGATGGTTATTTTCATACAATAAACTGCACAGGAGTATTTTTACATGTAGAAATCTTGCCTCTTCAGTTGAAGATACTGTAACGATATATAACCCAAAATATCGTTACATAATCAATAAACCTCCTCAATCACAGTGATATTTGGGGGTTTTTTAACACACAGAATGGCTATACCCCTTTACTTTATCATTGTCCTTTTTTTCTTGATGAATGTTTTCTTGGCTGTATATGATTTCAAAAATAAATCATCTTGCAACAAATGTTTAATAACAGACTTTGAGAAATGACATTGACATGCATGATTTGCAAACATTAAGCATTAATCTGCTGTCATCCATGCATCTGGCCACCACCAAACACCCATTTTCACAATGTGGAGAAGTGCATGCTGGGAAAGGACTTTCATGCACTTGTGCAGGTACATTCTAATATACATTTCTCTCTCTTTACAATATCTGCGCTTCATTATCACCCATTGCTTCTGCTTAATATTCCTTCTATTAATAAATATATTTCTACTTAACTATGACCAAAAGATGAATATGAACTTACATTATTTATGTCAATACATTTGATGGATATCTTGGTTTTTCAGCTGTTGCACACTAAAGAATCAGGGATGCAGATCGAGGCCTTATCCAGGAGAATTAACAACCTCACAGTAAGTAGATTTTTTTTTTTTTTTTAACTCTACAGTGCCTATTAACAAATTATTATTCTAATAGATTGTTAACCGAAATATACAGTATATATAAAATGATACATTTACAAATTTTTTAAATAAAAACTATATAAGCAATGTGAATATTGCTGTAGTTTCAAATGAAATATAACTCAAATATATGTATATAATAATAATAGTTTACATATATCGCTCTAACTGATACTACTTATAGTATTTAATATTATTATATTTTTAGTTGTAGAAGTAGTAAGACTCATCATTCTGATGAAACTATTATTAAGGGGAAATTATATTTATATTTTGTATTTATATGCACCAATATAACACCGGAAATGTTAAAAAGGTCCATGATACACTTAATGGCCAAATAAATCACATTTTAAAACTGCAATATTCAAATTGCTTAAAATTATTTTATTTTTTTTAAGCAAAATGATCAAAGTGAATATTCAGCATTTCACCCAGCCCTAGTGTCACATATCTGTTATTGAAAAGTTTAGGTTTAACTCTGCTTAACTAGGTTTAACTTATGCAGAGCTTCACACTAATCCTGACACCCTCACCTCCTCTCACTTACAGTACTTACTCAGCCGAGACGAGCTGCTGAGAGGAATGAGACGCAGCCAGACCGCCATAGTGTGATCGGCCTGCGCCGCATTAACTCCACCGTCCCGCCAAGAGCATACCTCAACCTAACCCACCTCACCCTCAAAGCTTCAGGACCTGAACTGTGTCACACAATCCTGCATAATTCAGCTCAAGAACACAGCTCTATTATTTTTGATATTGTATTACTAATTATTTTTGATGCGTTATGGGGTTATAATGTACTGTATGACAATCAGATCTGAGTTAAAGAGCAAACAAAAAAATAATTTTGTGTAATATGCAGACAGCACTTTTCACAAAGCCTTTCTGTCAATAGATGAAATCATCTACCTCAACCATTGTGTTCTTCTTAAAATATTGTATTCATATAGCCAGTGGAACTGGATGTGAGTAAATCCTTCTGTTTGACGAACACTTTGTCATTTTCTTAGGCTGTTTTACTTCATTTTTTTCAAAGCTTGTTAAAAGCAGTTAGTTTTTTCAAGCAGAAATGGTTGTTTGCTTGCTATACCTCTGTTAAATCCACCCCAAGAGTTAAAAGGGGTTTGTTGTAGTAGGGGGCTTTATGCTGTGTATGACGACTTGTCCAGTGTCCTACGTGTCCAATGTGTCCCATGACCCAACCGACAAACTTTGGGAGGTCCTTATATGACGGCTGAGCTTTAAATGAGCATACTTATCTTAACAGGACTCCAAAGAAGAGAAGAAAAATCCGCCCGCAGGTTCACTCTCGACCGATACCAAGGAAAGAATAATATTGGTGAGTTATTTTACCTGGTAACATTTTACATGTCAGTGTCCACTGACCACTATTTTATTGTAACAAACAGACTGTCATGTTAGCGATGTCAACTATTTTATTTTGAATAATATTAATAATTATTATTATTTTTGAAAGAAGTCTCTTGTACAGTTCAATACAGTTTGTATTAAATAGAACAAAATATTAAATAGAAAAAATACAGATACAATATTATATATATATATATATATATATATATTATATACTATATATGACCGTTTTTACACCAGTCTTCAGTGTTAAATGATCCTTCAGAATTCATTCTAACATATTGGTTTGCAGTTCAGTTATTATCCACTAATATTGGTGCTTAATTATTAATAATGGTTATATTATTATTATTATTATTATCATCATCTAAGTTAAAAACAGTTAGCTATTTTGTGGGAAAACATGGTACTTTTTGTCAGGATTCTTTGATTAATAGAAACAATTTATTTGAAAATAATGTATCACTTTTCATTAATTTATTCATCCTTGTTGAATAAAGCATTAATGTCTTTTTTTAACTTACTGACAGTGTAAAACTATTCAGTTTTAAAAATTCAAACATTACAAAGTCTCTCTTAATCTATTTGCATCCTTGCTGAATAAAAATATTAATTTCTAATATTAAAAAAATGAATTAATGTATAATGTATTATTAAAAATAGTTTTTTTAATTTTATGATTTTTTTTTCTGTTCAATTTTATTTATTTTGATTCTGACTTTTGGTGAGTTAAAGCAAAGTTTGAAGAAACAGTAAATGGAAAATGCAGTATTATAATTATGTATCAATATTTTCAGTGTATAAGGGAAACCACACTTTGAACTAGACCAGCTGGAATGAAGCAAACAGATCTCCAGTATGAAGCCAAAACCAGCTTTTTCAGAACCTTGTGGGCTAAACCCAATAAAACCACCTTGGCAGAACTCATCCACCTCTTTAATGACTGCATCAGAGAACAAAGGAGTATCTGCTTTTCAGGGACCCCGAGAACAAGTTCCACCCAAGTCCTTCAACCCTAAGTGAGATCTTTCTGATGACCTGCATCCAGCGCAGCAGCCTGCTGAATCAACTGCATGGCCATGACCCCAGAACAGAAGATCCTGCTTGGTGCCCACTGGGTCTGGACCGTGTTGGATCAGCCGAGCAAGAACCCCTGGTCCGTGTTTTTTCATCATCATTTTCGATATTATGGCAGACACTGCTGGACGGTCCAATGTCCGGTTTGAATAGGTCCAATGATAGCTTACTGTACAACCACAGCTGCATGTGTTGATGCCGTGCGAAGGCATCTCCACAACTTTTTGAAAAATACCACTTTATTTGAAGGATACAACTTGAAGAAAATTATAATTTGCATGTTTCCTTTTTAAAATAGGCTACTTAGTCAGTGACGCACAGAGTCAATTCTATTTACACTGCAATAAATATAGGTTAAAAATAGCTAAAATAATTAAATATTAGAATAATTAAATAGCTGCATAAATTACATTTGATTTGAATTGTTTAAAACAATTGAAATACTATTTGGCCAGTGGAAAAGAATGATATCAACTCTATTCTAAAATATTTATCTGAGAACTATTTTAAACTCACCTCCTCTCACTTACAGTACTTACTCAGCCGAGACGAGCTGCTGAGAGGAATGAGACGCAGCCAGACCGCCATAGTGTGATCGGCCTGCGCCGCATTAACTCCACCGTCCCGCCAAGAGCATACCTCAACCTAACCCACCTCACCCTCAAAGCTTCAGGACCTGAACTGTGTCACACAATCCTGCATAATTCAGCTCAAGAACACAGCTCTATTATTTTTGATATTGTATTACTAATTATTTTTGATGCGTTATGGGGTTATAATGTACTGTATGACAATCAGATCTGAGTTAAAGAGCAAACAAAAAAATAATTTTGTGTAATATGCAGACAGCACTTTTCACAAAGCCTTTCTGTCAATAGATGAAATCATCTACCTCAACCATTGTGTTCTTCTTAAAATATTGTATTCATATAGCCAGTGGAACTGGATGTGAGTAAATCCTTCTGTTTGACGAACACTTTGTCATTTTCTTAGGCTGTTTTACTTCATTTTTTTCAAAGCTTGTTAAAAGCAGTTAGTTTTTTCAAGCAGAAATGGTTGTTTGCTTGCTATACCTCTGTTAAATCCACCCCAAGAGTTAAAAGGGGTTTGTTGTAGTAGGGGGCTTTATGCTGTGTATGACGACTTGTCCAGTGTCCTACGTGTCCAATGTGTCCCATGACCCAACCGACAAACTTTGGGAGGTCCTTATATGACGGCTGAGCTTTAAATGAGCATACTTATCTTAACAGGACTCCAAAGAAGAGAAGAAAAATCCGCCCGCAGGTTCACTCTCGACCGATACCAAGGAAAGAATAATATTGGTGAGTTATTTTACCTGGTAACATTTTACATGTCAGTGTCCACTGACCACTATTTTATTGTAACAAACAGACTGTCATGTTAGCGATGTCAACTATTTTATTTTGAATAATATTAATAATTATTATTATTTTTGAAAGAAGTCTCTTGTACAGTTCAATACAGTTTGTATTAAATAGAACAAAATATTAAATAGAAAAAATACAGATACAATATTGTGAAATATGACCGTTTTTACACCAGTCTTCAGTGTTAAATGATCCTTCAGAATTCATTCTAACATATTGGTTTGCAGTTCAGTTATTATCCACTAATATTGGTGCTTAATTATTAATAATGGTTATATTATTATTATTATTATTATTATCATCATCTAAGTTAAAAACAGTTAGCTATTTTGTGGGAAAACATGGTACTTTTTGTCAGGATTCTTTGATTAATAGAAACAATTTATTTGAAAATAATGTATCACTTTTCATTAATTTATTCATCCTTGTTGAATAAAGCATTAATGTCTTTTTTTAACTTACTGACAGTGTAAAACTATTCAGTTTTAAAAATTCAAACATTACAAAGTCTCTCTTAATCTATTTGCATCCTTGCTGAATAAAAATATTAATTTCTTTAAAAAATGAATTAATGTATAATGTATTATTAAAAATAGTTTTTTTAATTTTATGATTTTTTTTTCTGTTCAATTTTATTTATTTTGATTCTGACTTTTGGTGAGTTAAAGCAAAGTTTGAAGAAACAGTAAATGGAAAATGCAGTATTATAATTATGTATCAATATTTTCAGTGTATAAGGGAAACCACACTTTGAACTAGACCAGCTGGAATGAAGCAAACAGATCTCCAGTATGAAGCCAAAACCAGCTTTTTCAGAACCTTGTGGGCTAAACCCAATAAAACCACCTTGGCAGAACTCATCCACCTCTTTAATGACTGCATCAGAGAACAAAGGAGTATCTGCTTTTCAGGGACCCCGAGAACAAGTTCCACCCAAGTCCTTCAACCCTAAGTGAGATCTTTCTGATGACCTGCATCCAGCGCAGCAGCCTGCTGAATCAACTGCATGGCCATGACCCCAGAACAGAAGATCCTGCTTGGTGCCCACTGGGTCTGGACCGTGTTGGATCAGCCGAGCAAGAACCCCTGGTCCGTGTTTTTTCATCATCATTTTCGATATTATGGCAGACACTGCTGGACGGTCCAATGTCCGGTTTGAATAGGTCCAATGATAGCTTACTGTACAACCACAGCTGCATGTGTTGATGCCGTGCGAAGGCATCTCCACAACTTTTTGAAAAATACCACTTTATTTGAAGGATACAACTTGAAGAAAATTATAATTTGCATGTTTCCTTTTTAAAATAGGCTACTTAGTCAGTGACGCACAGAGTCAATTCTATTTACACTGCAATAAATATAGGTTAAAAATAGCTAAAATAATTAAATATTAGAATAATTAAATAGCTGCATAAATTACATTTGATTTGAATTGTTTAAAACAATTGAAATACTATTTGGCCAGTGGAAAAGAATGAGATCAACTCTATTCTAAAATATTTATCTGAGAACTATTTTAAACTGTTTTGTTTTTATGGATTTTGACATATTTATGCTAAAACATAAGGATACTGGATGATTTTAGCAATAAAAATTGTGTATGGCACAAATGGCATTTATAGTCCCATGAGAGTGGCATATTTAATCTTAAGTGTTCACGCAAACATAATCTGTTATGTTTTAAGTGAAGGTTTGGGGAATTGTTGGGGGGAAAACATCTGATGTGTAACATTCTATTAGATCCGTGCATTACAGTAGGTCTTAATATATTGGCCGTCTGTCTAATTAATGTTAATCTAACAATAAAAGAAAAGAGGGAATCACTTGCTGCTCTCGATTGAACTGCTTTTGTAGTTTTAATAAAAAATAGTAGTTTTCTTACTTGAATGCTTTTGTTTATTTGTAAAATGAAAAAGGTAATGCATTATCGGTTTCTTTCTTATATTTGTTCTACTGTTTTTTGTTTTTTTTTGCATCTGTTCTTATTTCTAATAACAAAGATAAAATACAAAATAGCTATATTATGATTATTACTATAGTAATTATTATTAAGAAAATAAGTAGAGGAAAAGATGCAACGTTGCTCTGTGATTTTGTTTTGGAACCTTCAAAAAACGTTCTCAAAATTGACTTTGCTGACTCTATCGACATCAAACGGGTGTAGCTCAGTCATTTTTCGGCTGATTCCAACAAATCATACATCATTCTGAAGGTCTTTTAATGAAGAATGTGAACAAGAGAGAGATTGAATCCGCCTTGCCCTCATACTGTGCCGACTTGGGGGCTGTTCCGGGGCTGGACTCATAGAGCGGCTTCATTCTGCACTTGCTTATAGCACGCGCTATTGGACACGTTCCCCATAAGGGTGTCAATGCAATGGGAGAGACAGTTATAAAGGGAACGCTCCAGTTACTAACATAACCTTGGTTCCCTGACATAAGGGAATGAGCGCTGCGCAGGCTTCTGTGCTATAAGGCTTGTTACTGAAAAGCAATACAAAAATAGTATTTCTGTATCTTATTAATTAGTATGTCACATTAGGGCCATATTGTTTACTATGTTTAATCTCCAAACACATAATGAATTCCATTTACAGTATTGCTTATTTATTCGCTTAATTAATATTTCGTCATAAATGTGACTGACCTGGTTGGCAAATATAAGAGAACACTTGGTGTTGTCAGCATGATCTGCGGTTATACTCTTGATCAGCTGCAGCATTGGAGTGATGCCTGAAAGAATGAATGTGTCATCTTCAGTTAATACATATTTAGATGAATTATCTTTGCAGCAATGCCTGGAAACCTACTAAGAATACTTTGTTTGGAGCCCATTCAAAATATATCCATCATTACCTGTTCCACCAGCAATCATGCCCACATGTCTGAACTTCCGCACTTTGGGTTCAGATTTTTTATCAGGTCGAATAGCAAACTGCCCTGTAAATGTCAGTAAGGAAATATATTCAGCATCTGAAGCATTTAAATATTTAAAAATTCATTGTGTATACAGGTCATGCATTTGTTATAGAGCAATCTTAAAATAATAAGGCATTGCCTTCTAGTGGCTGAATACATTGCATCATACAAAACAATGGAGTACATACAGTGGGTACGGAAAGTATTCAGACCCCCTTAAATTTTTCACTCTTTGTTATATTGCAGCCATTTGCTAAAATCTTCACAACAACTCTGTGACTGTTCTTGAATGGCCCAGCCAGAGCCCTGACTTAAACCCAATTGAGCATCTCTGGATAGACCTAAAAATGGCTGTCCACCAATGTTTACCATCCAACCTGACAGAACTGGGGAGGATCTGCAAGGAGGAATGGCAGAGGGTCCCCAAATCCAGGTGTGAAAAACTTGTTGCATCTTTCCCAAAAAGACTCATGGCTGTATTAGATCAAAAGGGTGCTTCTACTAAATACTGAGCAAAGGGTCTGAATACTTAGGACCATGTGATATTTCAGTTTTTCTTTTTTAATAAATCTGCAAAAATGTCAACAATTCTGTGTTTTTCTGTCAATATAGGGCGCTGTGTGTACATTAATGAGGAAAAAAAATTAACTTAAATGATTTTAGCAAATGGCTGCAATATAACAAAGAGTGAAAAATGTAAGGGGGTCTGAATACTTTCCGTACCCACTGTATATTGTAAATTGTTTTAATTATGTTATGTTGTTAGCTAAAAGTCAACTATAAAAAACTGAAATAAAATAATTGAAAGCTAAAATAATAAAAAATAAATAAATACTGAAAATATAAAAATTAGAGCAAATTCAAAATATTAGTAAATACTATAATAGTGTATTCATAATACTAAAATAGCACTGAATCTGTGATTATTCATGCTGTAATA